CCCACCTGCCCCCCTTTCCCTCCCCCATCTCCCCACCTTTCACTCCCCACCCCACGGGGCAGGATGGGGTCCCCGACCCCTGCCCCCGTGCCTCAGTTTCCCCATCAGCTCGAGGCCTGAGGCCCCAATAAATGCACTGACCACTGCACGGCTCCTGCATGCAGGGAGGGGACGGGACAGCCCAGGCGCTGGGGGGGCAAGTTGGGGACTATCGGGGATGCCCCCATCCACGTCAGGGTGCCCACAGGGGCCCCGGCTGCATGCCAGGCGTCACCCCAGAGTGCTAGGGCTGAGCCAGGGGAGATGGCAGCGCTGGGGGCAGGTGACACCCAGCACCTTCCTAAAAAAAAAAAAAAAGCCTTTATTGCCCTAGAAAAGCCCCCGCAGCCCCCACGTGCTGGTGATGGGCACCGTGCCCCCCCAGGGGGGCACGGGCTGGCACCAGGTGCCCTCAGGGCACTGGGGGAGGCGCGAAGGTGGAGGGGCACCCACCGCCAGCACCCCAGCACAGGTGCCTGCCGGGGCAGGGGTGCTGCTGGGTGGGGGTGCCCCCGCCGTGCCCCTCAGTCCCAGCCGTTCTCCTTCACCATGTGCGACATCTCGATGATGAACTTCCCCTCCTTGTACTTCTGGCTGCTCTCGAAGGCCTGCTCCTGGGGGGAGGCAGCGTGAGACACCCCCCCCCGCCCCCGATGGGGTGCCATGCTGCTGCCCAGGCTGTGGGGTTGGGGTGCCCAGGGGTCCTGGCTTCACCATGGCTTTGGGGTGCCCAGGCTGGTGCCCACAGCAAAGGTTTGGGGAGCCCAGGGTGGTGCCCACATTACAGGTTTGGGGTGCCCAGACCAGGGATTTGGGGTGCCTGGGGCAGCCCTCAGGGTGGGCTCAGGGTGCCCCGGGTGGTGCCCACAGTAGGGGTTAGGGTGCCTGAGGCAGCGCCCGCAGCGGGGTAGGGGTGCCGGGCGCAGGGGCACTCACGTATTTCCAGCCCAGGGTGGTCTTGCAGCTCTGGCAGAAGATGTCAGCCACCGAGTGCAGTCCCGTCAGCAGCAGCCGCTGCTCCGCCGGGCCACAGCCCACGTTCACCCTGCGCCCGCAGAGCGGGGAGGGGGGCGGTCTGCCACCGGCATGGCACAGCCCGGCATGGCACAGCCCGGCACCGCCAGGACAGCGGCCCTGGGTGATTCCCTGGTGCCCACAGCCCAGGACCCCCCCACTGTCCCCCCACCCTGGGCCCGTGGCCACCGTCCCCAGGGTGCCCGGTGGTACTCACACGGAGTTGAACAGGTAGGCACGGCCATGGCTGCCCTGGAAGGACTGCAGGGACACGGCACGAGTCACTGGCTTGGCCCCGCGTCCCCTGGGCCACCCACGTCCCCCCGCCCTGCTGCATTGCCACCGTGCAACACGCCGGCCCGGGGACACCGTGGGGGGATGCTCACCACCCTGGGGACACCACGGGGGGACACATGCCACGCCAGGGGCACCACGGGGGAGATGCTGGCTGTCCCAGTGCCACCATGGGAAGAAGCTCACAGCCTCTGGGACATCATGGGGGGGACACAACACGCGGTCACTGTCCCAGGGCCACCTTGGGAGGAAGCTGACTGCCCTGGGGACACCACAGGGTGATGGTCGCTGACCCGGGGCCACCCCAGGGCCACCGCGGGGGGGGGGACGGACGCTGGCTGTCCCAGCCGCCCCATGGGGGACAGCTGGCCGGCCGGGGGGGTGGGCACCTTGGAGATGAGCTCCTCGTGCCTGGCCAGGTGGGCCCGGCAGTGGACGCAGCTGTAGGTGCGGTGGGAGCGGGGCAGGTAGCTGTGGAAGGTCCTGGGGGGCA